TATGTTGGTTGTGCGGCACTCTATTTAAGGTTTGACGTGTGAAGTCAATTAGCTCGTGAACCTCCAAGTGAGTGAATCGCCACAACGAAGACTAGCTTGCCGGCAAGCAAGTGAACCTCGGTAAAAAAATATTGTGTTCATCATTGATTCCGAGGTGATTGGTCTTCATTGTTATTCATCCTTGTGATTGATTGGTTCCTTCATCTACACGGCGGTATAACTTTCTTGATAACTCTCTTTATATTACCACAAACTAGTTGTCAAGCTTTTTAGCGTAGTTAGTTGTGAGAGATTGGTTGGTTGGTTGGTGTGGCTCTTTAGTTAGCTTTTGAGAGCACACTAACATAGGGTAGTGTTATAGCTATTATGTGATTAGATACTATCGAAACTAGAATTGCGGTAGGCGGCTTGCATTTTAAGTAGGTTAGCGCAACACTTGTTTCGCCTCATAATTGTCTAACCATTTTGTTAAGTGTTGTTGTTGAAATTTTATTAGGCTATTCACCCCCCCTCTAGCCATTAGGATCTTTCACTTAGTGATGAATAAGGTCACAAGGGACATACAAGGGGACATCCCTTGGTGTATGCTTTTCGCGGACGATGTAGTGCTAGTTGATGAAAGTCAGACAGGAGTGAATAAAAAACTGGAGTTATGGAGGGAAACTTTAGAGTCCAAAGGTTTTAGACTCAGTAGAACTAAAACTGAGTATATGAGATGTGACTTCGGCACTATTACTCGGGAGGAGGAAGATATTAGTTTGGAAGGTCAAGTAGTGCCTAGGAAGGATACCTTTCGATATTTAGGATCAATACTATAGAGAGACAGGGATATTGATGAAGATGTTAGCTATAGAATCAAAACAGGGTGGATGAAGTGGCGCCAAGCATCTGGTGTCCTATATGACAAAAGGGTACCACAGAAGCTAAAAGACAAGTTTTATAGGACGACAATTAGACCTGCTATGTTGTATGGTACAAAATGTTGGCCTACGAAAAGATGACATGTTCAATAGATAAGTGTCACGGAAATACGTATGTGGCGTTGGATTTGCGGTCATACAAGAAGGGATAGAGTTCGGAACGATGATATACGTGATAGATTAGGGGTAGCACCAATTGAAGAAAAGCTTGTCCAACACCGGTTGAGATGGTTTGGATATGTCCAACGGAGACCTCCAAAGGCATCGATGCGTAGTGGAATCCTAAGCCAGGATAGTAACGTGAAGAGAGGCAGAGGAAGACCGAAGTTAACTTTGGTAGAGGCAATAAAACGAGACTTGAAAGGATGGAATATACCCAAAGACTTAGCCTTAGATAGGAGTGCTTGGAAAATAGCTATTCACGTGCCTGAACCTTGATTGCTTTTGCTGGGTTTCAACTCTAGCCTACCCCAACTTGTTTGAGACTTAAATGCTTTGTTGTTGTTGTTGCTTGTGGATGTTCGGCTGGTATTAAAACCGGCTCATAAGCCGGCTGAAGCTGTTTTGTTGTGAGAGAAAAATACTATAGATTCTAGCTGATAAGCCGGCTGATAAGTTCAAGCGAACATGCCCGTTTACTGATGACAGTTCAAGGATATGAGAAAGTGAATTAGGCCATTTGAAAACTAAGTTAATAACCCATTTATAAAACCCTACGTTAGGTTCTAAGTGTTGCTATCTCTAACGTCTAATAATTTTACTCCCTAGATTCTAATTCTACCAACTAAAGTAGTAGCAAGTTAGAATAGAAAAGTAAAAGCACACAACCAAAAAATACAAGAAAATAGCTGCAAAATATAAAGGGTTAGGGAATGTACACTTCCTCACAATGCAATTTTTTATCGAGGTATAGAAAACTTTAAACTTTCCGCTAATCCGCGTTGGAGCTCCTCGCAAGGGCCAAGTGCTCGGTAGGGTAACTCCGTGAATAGCCCATGGGTCCTCCTCATTCACAAGTGGTCTTCGTGTGGTCTCTCCGAGACTCCTTCCACCCATCTTCACTAGGTGAGCTTAGGCCAAAACGTCAAGGCCTCACGCCCCTCGTATAATGACGACCACACCACAAGCACAATTGATATGATCTCGCAAGATTACACGCCTGTGTATACATATCTTTATATGTGCAAACATCGATAGCTTGAAAGTATACAGTAAGGAAAATGGACCATATGTCCATTTACTTTGGATTTTGGTGTTTGATGACCAACACAACCAAATTGGACTAATGAATTTGTAAGTGACTGTTTTGTAGTTTAATAGGGTGCAAGACGTGACTTGGATGAAGACGATGTGATGATCCGATGATCAACACCTTAAGTAAGACCCAGAAGCACAAGAGAGGAACCAAGTATCAAGCAAAGTTCAAGCACAAAGATAGGAACCAAGCCGGACGTAAGATCACGAAGAAACAAGCTCACAGAGGTGACCGGACGCTGGAAGGTGATCGACCGAACGCTCCGATCAAAAGGCTCGGCAACAGTAGGTGTCAGCAGCAGCGACCGGACGCTGAATAGTAAAGTGACCGGACGCACCGATGGCACTGTTCATCATCCCGGCAACACATTCAGCATTGACCGGACGCTGGCGGCAAATCGACCGGACGTAGGACTGCAGCGTCCGATCGAGTACAGAGAGGTTCTAGAGCGGTGAAATTGCGACCGGACGCGTCCAGTGGCATGTGACCAGACGCCATCAGCGTCTGATCAGTTGATCGCGGCTCTAACGGTCGGGACGACCGGACGCGTCCGGTCAGGACGAAAGCAGCGTCCGGTCAATAGCAGAAAAGCGGTATTTCGTCCCCAACGACTACTTTCTCAGTGTGGCTTATAAATAGACCCTCTAACCGACCATTTGAGATGTGTGAAGCTGAGGAAACATATCTAGGGTGTTGATACACCATTTTACTGATCTCTACTTGCATGGTGCTTAGTGATTCATTAGGTGATTAGCGTAAGTGCTTTGAGAAGTGCTTAGGTTGATTACGCTTATGCGCTTGCTCTAGATTGAGGCCTAGTGTTTAGTGAGGTTTGCATACCTCTTACCACTTGGTGTTTGCGCGCACCATTGTTGTACACCGGAGGGGCTTGTAGTCTTGCGAGATCACACCAACCTCGTTTGTGGTGTGGCCGCCACCGTTTACCGAAGGGAATAAGGCCTGCGGCGGTTCAGCCGGAAGCTTGATAGTGAAGACGGCGATGAACGGTCTGGGAGAGGCACACCGGAGACCCACTTGCGCGTGGGGAAGGCTTGGGGCTATCCACGGAGTGACCCGACTGGGAGCTTGGCCCTTGCGAGAGATTCCTTGCGAGGGGCTCCAACGAGGACTAGGGAAAGCTTGCGTGCTTCTTGATACCTCGGTAAAAACACTAGAGTCGTTGACGGGAGTTTGCATATCTCTACCTTACTCTTTAGCTTCCGCATTTATATTATTTGCATAACTCTTTTTGCGGTAGAGATAGCAACACACTAGCAAAACCGTAGTTGCACATTTAGATAGTTTATCTTTTACATACGTTTTGCTAAGGGTAGAAAAAGATGTCATAGTTTAGAGTTAGATTTTTTCATTGCCTAATTCACCTTTCCTTTTAGGCGTCACGGTCCAACATATATAAACCTCACAAAATATTAGGCCTAAACATAAAGTAAGCACATAACATGACCTTTAACTAGCATAAGCACTAATCCAAGCATTTTTGCTAACTGCCTTATCTTCTTTTAAGCGTATATAGTGACAGGAGCACAAATGGATGAGTTTTGGCTCAACTACATTGTTGTACAAAGGATGCCTCGACAGTGAGCATCCGATAGCTCCGGGTGACTGACATTATTGAAATCCAGTTGCCCTGCCGTGGACATCTTTTTTATTTATTTATCGTATTAGCTTTGTCCTAAATTAAATATTTATATCTTTAATCGTTAATTTCAAAAGATTCATATAGAGTTAAGACATAAGATTTATGTTTTTAGATTTACTATAAAAATACTTTTATAATATATAATTCATATATTGTTAATTTATAAATAAGGATTTCTAAATAAATAATTATTAAAGATAATAATGTTTAACTTGGAACCAAGCTAATATGACACGTAAGGCAGGTACGCGTACGCTCGTTTCTTATGATACAAGAAGCAACTTCCTCCCCTCGGCATATCTGCAGGAACATATGTCTTCCTTGTTCGCCGTGCAACAACATTTGCCGTCCGCCGACAGCGTATCCCAACGACGAACACAACTACACAAGGCACATTTGCCGTCCGCCGACAGGCGTTTCAATTGGCCACGTCGTCGCCGCCGTCCGGCGAGGAGACGTCTGCTTTGCTCTTCTTTTCATTGAACCAAAGATTTCGCTTTGCAAAGAACAAGGAGAGGACACCTGCGCTGCTGATCTGGCGCCGCCGTCCACTCGCTACGTCGCTGACTAGCCGTCCCGTCCGGGCCCGGCGACTCAGCAAGGAGAACTGCAGCGACAGCGACCGCCGGATTGTTAATCAGCCTATACGGTCTTCTTCTTTAGATAGAAAAGAAATAAAGATAAAGGTTAAAGGTTTCTCGTAGCCTCTCCTGGACAAACCGGCGATTGTCCTGTCGCCGGTGAGCCATTAATTCCGTCGAGCTGTAGACACCTCGTCTCTGGCGGGCAGCTGGTTTCTTCTTGCTGGATTTGCCGGTTTTTTTTGTTTTATTTATTGGTAAATTCGTGGTCGTGGCGATTTCTTTTGGTACGATTTTGGGGCTTTTAATAGCACAAGCTCAGCTACAGTCGTTCCCTGTCCTCCTGGTTTCAAATCTGTTTGGAACTTTGGTTAGTTCGGGTCCAGATTAGGGGGAATCGTACTCTCCTGGGGTCAAACATTGTCGCTTCTTTCTTCGTGTCGTTCTCTCTATACACACCAAAAAGAAAAAAAAACACGATTTTTCTCCCAACTTTGAGTAATTTCCAAGTGCTTCTTCAAGTTGGAGCTCGGCTCTGTGCTTAGCCGGGACCCTAAACTTGGTGTTTCAGCGAGCCCATCGGAATGGTGAGCGGGAATCTACTCTACCGGAGGAAGCGCTCGTGGCGTGCCGATGAGCTCGTGAGCCGGAGCACGCTGCAATTGGTAAGATCCTTCTCCCTCCCCTTCCTTTAATTGGTCCTGAAACCGCTAGTGCCTGCAGACATTGCCTCGCCTATTGGAAAGTGATGACAAAACTGTAATATCTGCCTTGGCTGATTCTAGTGAGCTAATCTATTTGTGATATCTTATTTCTGCTATCTTGCTGCTTATGGTGATTGTTAATATACAGGGTCTTCTGAAATGTTTTTTTTTTTAAAAGGCTCGGAAGTTGTGCTCGATGAATATGCTGAGTTGTTTAACTGACTGTTGCAGATAAAAAGTTGTATTTTTCTCCATCATTAATAGCTGTATTAAGAATTTTATTGGCTTACCAAATTAAACTGCAAATTGCCTAACCATTTGTATTTGTTGAAAGCATCACAAGATTGTGGAGAAATTTTCCCATTTGATTTGGTTTAGTTTTGAGTAAAATATATGAGTAGTCCAGGGTATGGTGTGGAATTCTGCTGTGACTACCTTTATTATTTCTTATTGATCATTGCTTTTGGGAATGCTCAGCTGGACTTTGATGATGGCTCACCACCGGAGCATGCATGGAGAAGGAAACTAAGTAGTCATGCTAATAGATTGAAGGAGTTCAATGTCACATTCAGAGAAGCAATTAGAATGGTATGGAAAAATGCAGCTTTCAGCTTTCCTTGTTAATGGAAGTTGTACCTGTCTTCTCTGTTACTTAAGCCTGCTGAAGTCTTCAAGTGATGCATGGGGAGTCAACATTATAAATTATGTGTTTCCCCCCTGATTGTTAGATGAAACTTGGTCTCCGACTTTGGTCATACATTCGGGAAGAAGCTTCTCATGGAAGGGTAATATGTAGATTTCACATTTCATATATCCATATGTACTTTATAAGTTACTCTTCTTTTACAGTTGATCTTTTATTCTGAGAGTTCACTTTTAGCTTGACAACTTACCAATTGGCAGAAAGCACCAATCGATCCATTCACTAGAGAGGGCAACAGACCCTCAGCCTCACAAGGAGTACCTCTTGGTGGGATGGGGTGTGTGATTATTGGTTTACAGCCAGCCTTTGTGTCATTCTGTTTTCATGAACATTTAGTGTGTACATTCATTCCTTCTGCAGGAGTGGTAGCATTTCAAGAGGCTTTAGAGGAGAATTCAAGCATTGGCAGATAACTCCTGGTTCTTGTGAAATGTCACCTGTGATGGCCAATCAATTTTCGGTAACTCCGGAACTTTGTCACTCTTCTGCTGTATCTTTAGATTTTTCTAACTAGAGGTTCTTGGTAGAAGCTCAATCAAAATATATATTCTACAATGAAAGCTTGTGAAAACAAGTTCTCAGAAAAAAATACTAATTTTAGCAGAGGGCATGCTCAAACCCAACCATTTTGGCTCATTATACGAAATAGATTTGGTGAACTTTTTTCATGCCGAGTGTGTCCTTTCAGACTTTCTGCAAACAGACTAGCATTCTGCCTTGAAACTTTTGATTAGGTATAGAAAGATGGACTCACCAGACAGTTTCTTTGCTAATTTTTGAAGCCTTCAAACTTGATTTTCAACACTTAGCTTGTTTTCACAAGATGCCCCTCCTTGTTCCATTGATACTTTAGTAGAAAGAAGTAGGCGGTACTTTTGAAATGAGGCTCTGTGGTAATCGTTCCTTTAGTTCTCTTCCCATTATCAAATTGCTGATTTGAATCTTCTAGTATTCCTGAAATGATTGATCACTCCTGCCAACAATCTCATTGTACTGCAAGACTGGCATAGCACTTCTGGATAAAAATAACAATACTAAGGGCCAGTTTGGTAGAGCTCTTCCTGCTTTAGATGCTCTATGGAAGCTGATTCTCTGTGAGAAGTGCTTCTTTGACTGAAATTGATTCCCTATGATTCTCTACGATAAACTATGTGCATAGAGTGATTTTGTTCGTGAAGTGAATCGGAAGAAGCTAGTTTTTTCAGCTTTCAGCCCCTTAGTTCATTTTAGAGAATCACTTCACAGAATCAGCAAAGAATCACTTCTCAATAAAAAACTATTTGGCAAAACTTCTCCTGGATTCAGCCTGTAAACTGCTCTGGGAGCTCTGCCAAACTGGCCCTTATAGATTATGAACTCATTGAAAAGAGACATCAATACATCACAATTCTGTTTTGTTATCTCGAAAAAAAAATCTGTTTTGTTGAGATCCTTCAAAAATATCAAAGCAGTTTGAAATCTATTCTCCTTTACTGTCTGGAGTATTGACTAAGCTTCCTGATGTTACTATTATCTACATGCCTAAGTTGCTGCTTGTATATATAATCAACTGGTGCAGGTTTTTGCTATGAAGTCTAAATTTTGACTGACAAGCATATCATGTTTTTCTTATTATTGCAGATCTTTGTCACTCGGGGAGGAAACAAGAAATACGCTTCAGTTTTGGGCCCTGGTCAACTTGGTGGTTTGAAGTATGATGTTCTTATTTATCCTTCTCATTGCGGGCACCATAATCTTGTTTTCCACGTTTATTTAATTTATATTGTCTTATGCTTGGTATTTTTCCCCAAAATAGACATAACTCTGGAATGTTCTCTTCATTTTTCACAACTAAGAATATATGTGCAAGTGATGTATGTACTATTCATTTATCATATTTGTAATCTTCATTAACATTTCTATTTGCAAGAAGGATATGACATTTTCTAATGTGCCACCATTGTGTTTTATTTTTCTTAGGGTAAATACTTTCAGATTTTATACGGATTAAAATATTTATACTACCTCAAGCCAACAATATATGAACAGCTTGTTTTCTTGGTCTGAAACGTCATATATTGTTGACTGGACGTATCATTACCCTGCATGCTGAGCAGCAATTCTTGAGCTCCTCTTGTACTGCAATGTCTGCTTTACATTTCCACCTGATTAAGCTGTGCCCTGATCTGCATAGTTCCTCTCTCATGTCAATATGTTTGGTCTATACCATGCATCCATGCTGTTGGCCATGCCACTGCGTGGCATGCTGCGATGCCACACAGATGGCTTATTTTACTGAGATCATATGTGCTGCTTATGGTGAAATTGAGATAGGGAAAAGTGGCCTCGTTAGGCAGTGACCAAGCCTGATTATGCCATAGCCTTCTGTAGCTTTGTTTGGTGGTGTTGACTAGCAGATGAATAGGGAATGGCATGAAACCATGGAAAATATTTATGTTAGATGTAGGTAAAAGTTCTGCTAGGAAAAATGGAGAATTATAGGACTAAAAATCATTATAAGTTAATGTGTTTATTGTGGGTGGTGGATTTTTGTTAGAGATTTTTATGGGGTGCTTGAGAAAAGTAGAGTTTGGTGAGGAAATATATGGTTTGTCCAGGATTTTATGGGAGAAGGGTATTCTTCCGCTTTATGGTGGATTTTTTTTGAACGAAAAGGCAGGAGGTCTGCCTCTCAATTAAGAAGAGGAGAAGTTCAGTACAAAGACATGACACACTTGCACACCCACACGATAGCCAGGCTCTAGCACTTAGAGACAAACACACAAACAATATTCTTCCGCTTTAGTGGTGGTATGGCCCACATGTTTGTACATGATATTTCTGTGCATAGGACTGGATGGGTGTATGAATCGTCCATGGTAGGATATCAAGATATTGCTCTAGTCTTATTTTTTTTGAAAGAGAATTGCTCTAGTCTTATCACTGTATATATTCAGTTAATTTATACTTTCCTAGAGTTCATCCAGCTTTCTTTTTCTTTCTTCCTTTTTCTAGTACCAATTCAACCTGAAATTATCCTCTATTCAATTTTCTGGTCCTTAGGAAATCTACTGATGATGGTATATCGTCCTGGGACTGGAAATTAAAGGGCGATCGTTCAACATATCATGCTTTGTTTCCTCGAGCATGGACTGTTTATGATGGTAATGATGCTTATTATTTCTGAGAAAAGATTTATTTTGCTATTAGTTTGAGATCTAATCTCCTTCACACTATCACAAAATTTCCACCTTCTCTTTTACCACTGCTCCATCTATATTCGTTTTTTCGGCCATTCCCACTAGGTCAATACTAATTGCGCACAAAAATTCAGACGTACAGAAAAATAGAAAAAAGTAAACATTATTGAAAATTGGAAAGATAAAAATAATTCCTGAAACAGACCCAGAACATCCAGTGGTAATTTTTGAAGGATACTTCTAAAGATTTGTAAAAATATTCATTTGGGCAAGGATGAATAATTGCTAACTACTTCAATAAGTAGCACACCATTTAAAATATTGCAAACATGCAATGAGGTTCACATGTTATTATTCTTTTGGTTTAAAGGCGAGCCAGATCCTGAACTGAAAGTATCCTGCCGTCAAATATCTCCATTTATTCCCCATGATTACCAAGAGAGCAGTCTTCCTACCTCTGTTTTTGTATATACTGTAAGTCTTCATTTTCTTTTCCAGAGTAAATTTGATGAAAAAACAACATTGACTTTATGTTTCATATAGCTGTGAATCTAAAATCTTTGCTCTAAATAGTCCTATGTTTCTCTGCATACCAACTTATTTATGTTTATGGAGCCGGTGAGAGTATCCATAACTCTCTTTAATCACTGAGGCATACTGGCATTGTCACTAAACTGTGACTATTGTTGCATTATTAATTGTAGTTAGACGTGCTGATAGCACAGTGATTGAGCACATGAGGTGTGGAGCTCCCCGCCAGGGTTTGATCCCTGGTGCTGCATGGTTGTGTGGCCACCTCCCTGGTTGAAACAACGCAGATGGTTCCGCGTCCGCCAAAGAAGCGTGCGCGCGTGAGGTTCCTGCCTGTTTCCCAGGTTCGGTGGGCCCCTTCTTAAGACTAAAGTCAAGGGGATATCTCTCCCCTTGATCAAATATTTTTTTAATATTAACTGTAGTTTTTCACCTTTTTTTTTTCTCGAGCACGCAGGCTGTGTATCATTATATTAAGAAGAAAGGGTTTTAGAATCCGTACAAGCCCAACACACTCACAGTTTAACAAAGAAACACACATGACCTCGAGCTATGAACAGCAGCCTCCAAGATCTAGCTTCCAATTCGAGCAAGGGCATCATTCTTACTTTTATTACTGATATTTTGCAGCTAGTGAATACTGGAAAGGAAAGGGCAAAAGTTAGCCTATTGATGACTTGGGCGGTACTAGCTACTACTTTTCCTTGGGTGTTCGCACCAAATTTGTATTTTATGATATGTTGGATCTGATCATGTTCTATTCTTGATGCTATGCTAGAATTCTATAGGAGGACTTTCACATCATTCTGGGGGTCACGTAAATGAGCCATTCATGTTCGTATGATGTCACAAAAGCTTAATATGTTCTCTATTGCCAGTGCTCCATGTAGTGAAATGATTTGTGTTCTGTTTGACATGCAGAGGAAAAAATGGAGTTTCTGGTGTTCTTCTACATCACAAGCAAGTCAACAACTGATCACTCTTTTTCTATTCTTCTTTTGGCGAACTTCCTTGGATATTTCAGATTAGTCCAATCTTGAAACTAAGCACTTATAGCTGATCTAAAGTCATCCATACTCTCTGCCTAAAAAATAAAGAAACTATGGCTCAATACATGGTGTTTTCTGCATATATTTTCCAACATGATTTTTTTGTTACTTAAAGACTAGCATTAATTCTCTATTAATAACATCACAGGACAGCCAATGACAATCCTCCTGTAACATTTGCAATTGCGGCATGTGAAAATCAAAATGTAAATGTCACAGTATTGCCTGTTTTTGGGCTTTCTGGAGAAAATTCTGTTACTGCTAGGGAAATGTGGGGCACAATGGTCCAGGTGATCTTTACTTTTCTTCCTTGTTTTTCCCTGCCTGTAATTCCCTGTTTTAGATAAGATTATTGTATGCATAGAAGGCTAACCTTCTGTGGAACTGTTTTGAAATAACCAAATGTTTGCCATTTCGATGACTGTGGGTGCATATCATACCATCTGATTGTTTAATTGTTTAAAGGATGGTTCCTTTGACCGAGATAATTTCAATGCTGGTCCCAGCATGCCTTGTTTGCTGGGCGATACAGTTTGTGCAGCAGTTTCTGCTTCCACCTGGGTTGAACCACATGGAAGATGTACAGTTGTATTTGCATTGGCTTGGTCTTCTCCTAAGGTTAAGTTTAAAAAGGGGAGTACATACTACAGGTAAGTTCTTTATTCCTAACTTTTATTTGGCGACAACTGTTAATCATGACGCATCCAAGATCGACACAACTCAGAGCACTTGTTAAAAACACTTTATGATTCCTTTCATTCAAACCTTGAAGTTGTTGGGCAATGCAAATGGGAATAGTCTTTGCACTCTGTTAATCTTTTCCTCCATTTGCCATTCAGCTTTTACTATGCAGTGCATAGACTCTAAATAGTAAATAGTCTGTTAATCAGCTTATCTTTTGACAAGAGCTAAACATTGATAATACTTCTATCTTTCATTAAGGTATCTGTAGTGATGTGGTTTGTATTATTGATAGCAAAACTCCTGGATTCCTAGCTTTCTGCTACTTTAATAAGATTTATTTCATGCTGGCTAACAGGAGATATACAAAGTTCTATGGAACTTCTCCAAGATCAGCCGTCAATTTGGTAGAGGACGCTTTGATGAGTATGTTTCCTGTAAACATATATTGCACAACATATACTTTTGTTCCCAAGTCGTGTCATGAATTTAACATATGATGATTATACCTTTTAGCTTTCCTCTCATATTTGAATATTCTGGTTTGATTCATTCATTAATTCTACTGCTTCCTTTAATTTGTGGTGTATTTATTTCTCTACTAGTTATTTTCTTACTCGAGAAAATTTGCTTTATTAATGTGACTTTCAGAGTATAAGCATTGGGAAGAAGCGATTGATAAGTGGCAGACCCCGATTCTCCGAGATGAGAGGCTTCCAGAATGGTATGTGCTTGTGCTGTGCATGACTTCCACTGGTTTGATTGCTTCTTACATAGTTGTACTTCCTGATTATCAATTATGTGAAATTCATGCTTGTAGTTTATATTTTCTATAGAGACCATATGAGTTAGTTTGGTATTATTAGATTTTGATCTGCATGGTAAGATGTATGTACTTTATCATCTTTAACTCTTGCAGGTACAAGATTACACTCTTTAATGAGCTGTACTTCCTAGTTGCCGGTGGAACCGTTTGGATTGGTACTAATCTCTGCATATTGTTACACTTTTCCCTTCCAATTTTGTCCTATTCGCCATATTTAGGTCTGCAACTAACACAATGAGCTTGAATGATATTGGTATACACATTACTGGATTTCGGCAATAATTAACCTAGTATTTTCTAAGAAATCATCCTCCGTTTACCTTCTGTTTGAGTGGTGCCTTTTGGACAACAGTATAAAATTAATAGGCAATATGTGAATTGCGTTTTCTTCATTGATCCATGTTCACCAAAAAAACATTCTGTAACAATGAAAGCATTGCTTGTAAATTTTGTGTTGAAGTTGTGCGTGTTTGTTGATGTGTAGTCGTTTTTAAAGATCAAATTGCTTTTGGACAAAGAAATGAGGAACATAATATTAGATTGATCCAAGAGCACACTGAGCATACAAGTCCCATTGTTCTGATATTTTGGATGGTCAATTTTTGGTCTGATTATATCTTCTCTTAGAAGGTGATAATACAAAAATGATTAATTTTTTTACATATTAATTTTTTACAACTACTAATATTCTGGTCTTCTTTTTACAATTTTTGTATCTGTATTTGTTACTCACAGATAGTGAATCATTTTTTTTTCTGTACGTGACAGATAGTGAATCTTTGGTGTCTGATGCTGATAACAAGTTGAATCCAAGTCCCCCAGAAGACAGTAATTTGCCATTTCATGATATCACATGCAATTCTACAGTTCCACTCATCGGTTTTGACCCACATGAGATCGATGACAAAGAAAATGTTGGGAAGTTTTTGTACCTTGAAGGAATAGAATACTTCATGTGGTGCACCTATGATGTACACTTCTATGCCTCCTTTGCTCTTTTGGATCTGTTTCCTAAGATTGAATTGAGCATTCAACGTGATTTTGCTAGAGCTGTTTTGCGGGAAGATAACAGAAGAGTCAGATTTCTTGCTGATGGTACCTGGGGTATTCGTAAAGTAATCGGTGCTGTCGCCCATGATCTTGGAGCACATGATCCTTGGCATGAATTGAATGCTTACAACATACATGATACAAGTAGATGGAAAGATCTTAATCCCAAGTTCGTGCTTCAGATTTACAGGGATTTTGCTGCAACAGGTGATAAGTCATTTGGCAAGGATGTCTGGCCTGCAGTCTGTACTGCTATGGAATACATGGAACAATTTGATCATGATGGTGATGGTATGATTGAAAATGATGGATTTCCTGATCAAACTTACGATGCTTGGACAGTTCAAGGAGTAAGTGCGTATTGTGGTTGCCTCTGGCTTGCTGCCCTTCAAGCTGCAGCGGCACTGGCCCGAAGCCTTGGACATGATGATTATGCTGAGAGGTGCATGACAAGATTTGCAAAAGCTAAATCTGTATTTGAAGCCAGGTTATGGAATGGTTCATACTTCAATTATGACAGTGGTACAAGTTATAATAGCCGCTCCATCCAGGCAGATCAGCTGGCTGGACAATGGTATACAGCATCGTCAGGTTTACCTCCTCTATTTGATGAGGATAGGATAAAATGCACGCTTCAGAAAATATTTGACTATAATGTGATGAGGGTGAAAGGAGGACGTATGGGAGCCGTGAATGGTATGCATCCAAATGGGAAGGTAGATGAAACCTGTATGCAGTCAAGAGAAATCTGGACTGGAGTAACATATAGTTTAGCAGCAACGATGCTTCTCCATGGAATGGAGCATCAGGCCTTCACTACTGCAGAAGGCATTTATATAGCAGGATGGTCTGAAGAGGGCTATGGGTAATGCTTCTTTTCTCAATACTCCCTCAGTCTAAAAAAAGTACAATTCTAGGGTTGGCTTATAAAATTTTCTTAAGTTTATTGAAAATAGTATCAACATTAATGTCTCTCTACTATGAAAACATATTCCATGATTAATCTAAGGAATTTTTTTTTTATCGATTCAGTCATACTTGAGACTGATTGACTTTGGAAAAAGCTAGAATTGCACTCTTTTTTGGGTGGAGGCAGTACATGAGATGTGCAGTAATGTGAATGGATTCTCACATAGTTCCTTTGAGATATCCAAATGTCAAGTAATGTGTGACATAGTCATAAAGGGTTTTGATGTTATTGTGCATTCTCCTTTGGTATATGATGTTCGAGACTCACTATATAAAGCCTATTTTTGTTTCTTCAAATAGCTGTTTAAATCTCAAAATCATAGCTTCCCTCCAGTCCTTAAGTAAAACTGGTCACTTATTGTAATGTTCTGTTTGTTCTTGGCAATAGATTTAGTTCTTTTATGGGTACCACACTTTCTTGGATTTGGTACAGTCATCAATCTATCTTGTAACAGAAATGGAGCCACTTCATTCGATCTATTCTGCTAATAATTAATAATCAATTTCCTTGAAACAAATTCAGGTACTGGTTCCAAACTCCAGAAGCATGGACAATTGACGGTCACTACAGGTCACTGATATATATGCGCCCCCTTGCAATCTGGGCAATGCAGTGGGCCTTGTCGCCTCCAAGGTCGATACTGGAGGCGCCAAAGGTAAATACAATGGACAGAGCTCACATTTCTCCAGGCACGTTCCAATTTATCCAGGATAGCGTTAGAAAGATGACACCCAAGAACAGTTGTTTTGGAAACACTGTAATTAACTGGGATTGTTGATGTGATGGTAGCACTTGTATTTCACTCTTGTCCAATGTGTGTTTAGGGAGCACCTCATGTAAGAAAATGTTGAGTGTGGGATGGGTGCCATATTCTGTTCAGGCTTTTGCAGTTATGTGGTGTACCTCTGACATGATGATTATGCTCACATTGTTGTACAGAAAACGTACATAATGCTGTGTTACCCTAATATTCACGACAATGTTGTTTAGCACACAGATGCGTACAGTTTATTGTTCATATAGTATTTTGAAATGAGTACCTTTCATGGGCTTCCATAATGCTATTGCAACATCTTAAGGCCCCTTTGGTACAGCTTTCACTGGCTGTTCACATAAGCTCTTTTTCTCTCTCCTTTCTCTTTCTCTCCGAGGCGGTGGAGCTAGTTTATCTTGGACTGGCTCTTTGAGAGGAGAGAAGAGAGAGATAGTGCGTGCATCAAGAAGCTAAAGCTAGTGGGAGCTCTACTAAAAGGGGCTTAAGGGCTTGTTTCGGACTGCTCTGCTCTAATTTTTTTAGCTTTGCTCCACCAAGTCCACCATGAAGCAGTTCTATTGTAGAGTTTCTGGAGCGAAGCAGTTACAAACAGGCCCTAAATATCACATTCCAGCATTATTCACAAAATATGAACAACTTTAGAAAAACCTGAAGCACATTTTGAATTTTTGAAACTTTTCTTTCAAAATGTTGAAAGTTGAGCACACAAAATCATATATAAATAGTTAAATACAATGATTTGGCCTTGTTTCGATCCCAATTACTAAAAGTTAGTTACCTAACAGCTACTAACTATAAACTATTAGCTAATTGTTAATCGTGTGTTGTTTGGAATTTGGATCTACCTCCTAATAGGTGATTGGATAGTTGGCTAGAGGTGTATATGAACTGTTAGCATCTATTAACAGCTCTTCATCAACTATGAACTAATTGTTAGCCCCTCCACTTGCTATTAGTTAGCAAGTCTATTGTTGGACCTTTTTATCCACATGTGCTAATTTTATCTATTATCTGTTAAAATTAATGGATCTAATCTGAACAGGCCCTTATCCATGAAGCCCTTAACCATGAGGAGCAAAGGAGAAAAAAAATGGGCTTGCTAGCGCATAGACGTCCGAATGGTCGGGGTGTCCGAACGCCCATGCCTATAGTCCTTTTCCCGCACCATTTCGCGAGACCACACGGGGCCCGCGCCGCCCCGAACGTCACCAGCATCGAGAAGAGGGGGAGGGGGGGGATGCCCAGCCGGCGCCAGGAGGAGGAGACACCGAGGCGAGGCAACATAAGGCAAGAAGGAGATGCAACACCTGATCTACTTTTAGAACATTCAGATGCATCACTTGCAACATACATATGAAGGCGGATGGAACATTTGAAACATGCATCGGAAACACTTGCAAAAACACCTGAAAAACACTTGAAACCATTGCAAAAACATACGCAATATCTAGATAAAACACTTGCAACATATGTGTGAAACATATACAACATCCAAATAGACACACTTGCAACATAAATCTGGCAAACAGATAAAACATTGGAAACAAAGGTTGCACCATACTTGTACAACAATTACAACATATGCAACATCCCGATCTACTTCTGCAACATCCACATCAAAAAAATGGAACATACCTATGAAAACATCTGAAACACTTGAAACATAGGCTTGCAACATGTGTTTTTCATCCTTCTTCCATAGGACACAGCGTAGAGCGGGGGAACGAACGGTTTTGGCAAGCCAGCGGCTGAGGATGGTGGACGACGGCCGATGGGAGGTCGCATCAGCCAAGCCACCGGCGGACCGGGCGCTAGAGCTGCCGAGGATGGAGGATGATGGCCTTGAAGCACAAGGGAAGGCAAGGAAGACGAGCGCGCAGGCAGGAGGACGATGATCGGCTGTGGGGGATATGGGAGGTCGCGCTGGTCAGGGCAGAGGAGGGCCATAGCCGGCGGTGGATCTCCTGATCCGGCCAATGGGAGGTCATGTCGGCCAGATCGGCGGTGGACTAGTGCCGGAGCTATCGAGGATGGAGGACGACGACCATGAAAGTGAGACCAAGGTGAGGAAGATGAGCGCGGTGGAGTTGGGCACGGTGGATAAGGCCGTGATGGGCGAACAAGCGTCCAAGTTTTTTTAATGGAGAAGCCATCCAAATGGACAGACGCCTTGACTGAAGCATTACTATTTTTAATGGAGAAGCTGTCCGGATGAACGGACGCCCTAACTGAAGCATTACCAAAAAAACCCGGTAATGCTCCTTATAGGGCGTCCATTCATCCGAACGGACCCTGCCCGCGTCGCCCCCGCTCGCTCAGCGCACTGCGCGCCCCCGCTCGTGGACGGACCCCGCCCTCGCCCGCGCTGACCCCGTCCGTGCCACCCACTCGCCCTGCACGTTGCTTGCCCCTACTCGCGGGTGCCCTTGGCCACGCCGCCCTCGCTCGCGCCGCATGCCTGGTGAAAGCTCTAGTTTGGTATTGATGAATTGATGAAACCCTAAGTGCTAACCTAGTTTATCTAAGTGATCATGAGATAGGTAGCACTATTCCACGTGGTGGAGCAATGGTGAAGGTCATGATGATGATGTGACCATAGTGATGATCAAGTGCTCGGCTTGAAAAAGAAGAAAGAGAAAAACAAAAAGCTCAAGGCAAAGGTGAAACTTGATAGGAGCTTTTTGGTTTGGTGATCGAGACACTTAGCGAGTGTGATCACGTTTAGGATCGATAGCCGTACTATTAAGAGGATGAAACTCGTATCGAAAATGGTTATCAAAGTGCTATTAGATGCTCTAACTCATTGCATATGCATTTAGATCTAGTGGAGTGCTAACACCCTTGAAAATATTTGTGAAAATATGCTAACACACGTGTACAAAGTGATAAACTTGGTGGTTGGCACAATTGAGCAAGGGTGGAGAAGTTGGTGAAGTGAAGGAGGTGTTTTTCACTGTGAAACAGTGACCGAACGCAGGTTACATTGTGACCGGACTCGGGGTGTCAGCGTCCGGTCATTTATAAATTTGTTGGTCACGCTCGGCTTCTGTTGGTTCGTGACCGAACTCAGCACAGTGAAAGTGACCGGACGCGCAGGGCCTGTGTCCGGTCACAGGTGACGTACACTGACATGGTGGCATGCTGTGAGCAGAAGGAGGACTTGACGCTGGGTGCATCCGGTCAGGGCGGACCTGACGCGTCCGATCTGAGTTTGGGCAGTGGAATGGAGCGGTGCGTCCGGTCTTGACGTGGCCGTGGCATGCGCGTGAGCGATCGGCGCGTCTAGTCCTACATGGCGTGCGTCCGGTCGTCACTTGAGTGGCGCGTAAGCGGCTACTAGCCGTTGAGATCGCGCGGCTAACATTTGAAGGAGGGGCGACGTGGTAGCCATCCATTGACCGGACGCTGGCTCGATGCATCCGATCATTTTGATCGCGCGTCCGGTCAGCGCGAGGAAGTGTGCAGTGAGGAGTCCAATGGCTCTATTTCATGGGGGCTCCTATTTAAGGCCCATGGCAGGTTCAAGCTCACTTTCTTGGCTATTTGCATTGACATAGCAACCATGTGAGCTTAGCCAAAGTCCTCACACTCATCTCCATCATTGATTCATCATCTTTGTGAGGTTGAGAGATAATCCAAGTGTATTGCTTTAGTGATTGCATCTAGAGGCACTTGGTGTTCGTGTTTCAGCTGTGTGATTCGCTTGTTACTCTTGGTGGTTGCCGCCACCTAGATGGTTTGGAGCTGTGAGGATCGTCGAGTGGAGGAAGGTGCTTGTCTCCGGCTCTGATCGTGGTGATTGTGGAGGTTCTTGACCTTTCCCCGGTGGAGAGCCAAAAGGTACTCTAGTGGATTGCTCGTGGCTTGTGTGATTCTCATCTTATGTTGGTTGTGCGGCACCCTATTGAGGGTTTAGCGTGTGATACCAATTAGCGCGTGAACCTCCAAATGAGTGAATCGCCACAACGAGGACTAGCTTGCCGGCAAACAAGTGAACCTCGGTAAAAAATCTTGTGTCACCTTGTCCGAGGATTTCAATGGTTATCTTGTGATTGATTGATTGATTGATTCCATCTTGTGATTGGCTCATACCTCGACACATCGGTATAATCATTGCCATCCTTTTTGTATTATATTCCTAATGTGTAAGCTAAGCTCTTTAGTGTAATTAGTTTTGAGAGCTAGCTTCCATCGGGACTAGTGGTTAGTGAGGCTCTTTAGTTAGTCTTTGAGAGCTCACTGACTTAGTGTAGTGACATAGCCATTATGTGGATAGAGACTATAGCAACTAGAATTATGGTAGGTGGCTTGCATTTTTAGTAGGCTAGCGCTACACTCGCTTTGCCGTTTATTTGACTAACCACATTGCTATTCACCCCCCTCTAGCCATTAGGACTTTTCACCTGGGCCGCGTGTCCCCGCCTAGACTCGCGCCTCCCATTGCGTCCACACTCCATCCACTTGCCGTGGCCCCTATCGAGGTCCATGCCACTGACGAGCTCCACACCAGTGACCTCCGCGCCACTTCGTGGCATCAAGATCCACGCCGCTGTCAAGCTCGCGTCGACAATCCTCCTTTTTCATCCAAGCAGCAAGTAGATGTTGTGCTTGAAAGCACATGTTGCAAGCCTATGTTTTAAGTGTTTTAAATGTTTCATAAGTAAGTTGCAGTCGTTTCATATGGATATTGCAAAATAGATCGGGATGTTGTAAATTTTAAGATAATGGAATAAACATCCAGCTTCATCCTCGCTCAAAGGTGTGGAATTAGACCAAATTATTACAAGAGGTTCTCACACTTACTTTTAAAGCAGACTCACTAAAAAGATAGAAAATCAATTTGCAATCCTAGACATAATGGGCCATCCATAAGAGGAAAAAATACCAAAGTTGATATCTATAGGGTCTCGCAAGCTTTGTAGACAATCTTTCTTTTCTTCACTTTGCTACAACTAACCATAAACCGAAACCAATATGTTCCCCTGAATAAGACCTGCAAAAATGTTTTTAGGACTGCACTTATCAAAAACACTGTCATTTCTAGTGAGCCATAAGGACCAACAGAAGGCAGCCGCCCCTAGTAGTTATAAAAATCTTTTCCACAATGCTTATACCAATTCCCAAAAAAGGTTTGCTACAATATGCCATGGGGTAATGCCAAACACCATATGCAATGC